GGGGTTTGAGAAAGTTCGTGGTTTTTCTTTTTGAAGTTTTCTTGGGAAGGTTATTTGATTCTGATTCTGATTTTGGGTTTGGGTTTTTTTTTCTTGGGTTGTGGGTTTTTTTACAGTGAGGTAAATACTGGAACAGTGGAACATAACTAGTGGATTACAGCTCACACATTCACAGAAATATGGTGTAGCACTCTTTGTGGGACAAAGTTCTGAAAGTTTTTCCTCAGGAAGTCCATTAAGATAAAATAGAGAGGAGTAAATAATTTAAAAGGTTTGAATACCTTGGGTGAATGTACATTTTTAAATTCACCATAGTTCCTCCCTAGAACCCCTATTTGGATCATGTCAAGTAGGTTGCACTGTCTCTCACAGAAATATTTAATTCTCATCCTCTCTTGTCTCTAAAGCCAGTTCATAGCTCATCATCAAGCATATGCAGCACGCTTCTTCCCAGTGTACCCATTCCAAGCTACTGAATGAGAAAAATATGTAGTTTTGAGGTGTCTTGTTAGCAAGCGAAAGAATTACCACAATCTCTCTCTCTCTCTCTTCTTCCTCTCCCTTTCCCCCTTCCCCACTCTGTCCTCATCTGCTAGGTTGCGTTGTCAGATACATTTTACTACCTGATATAAATGTTGGGAAAATGTGATAAATTTTCATTATTACCATTGAATAAAAGTTCCCATCTACATTACTGCTGTGCCAATGTACACACACTTTATCTCTTCAACAAAAAGAACTTTTAATCCTTATATATACATGTCATCCCTTTCCCACCAAACTCCATAGAGACACTCAGATGAGAAAGGGTATCTTGTGTGGTAATATTTTTCCTGTACTGCATCATCTGGGCACCTGCAAACCTCACACAAAGCAACTGTGACAAAGATCACAATGCCTTCACTGAGCATCTGTCTTAACCCTCTGCAATGGGTAGCATTTGAATTCTGTTTGCTGGCCCACAGGCCATTTCCAGCTAACATAGGTTCTCCTGATTTAAACTCCATACCCGTTTCCTCTGATCCCACTGACTTTCTGCTGTGTTAAACTTGTAGAAGTGGCTTCTCTAACTTCAGAGAAAGGCATTTTTCATCATCTGTTTTGTAGTGCCTGGAAGAACAGGAAGCCATTATTACAGCATTTTTGTTATTATTTGGTCAGAAGAAAGGGACTGTCCCAAACACTTTTGCCACACTGAGCCCCCTGTCACCTTAGGAAATTTTAAAACAGTATAAATTCAGATTAAATCCCTGTTTTGCCATTCAAGTGCCAGCCCCTTCAAATGTATAACTTGTTAAAAATATTTTAGGATGAAAAGGCAGTATAGAATGTTTGATTTTTAGATGGTAGATGCTAGGCTTTAAAAGGGACAAATATGGCAGTTTGTGCATGCGTGTGTATATTTATGTATAAACCATCGTATTTGGAGTAAAATGTCAGCAGAAATCTTGACTTGATTTTAACAGCTAGAATTCAGTGTTTCACAAGTTCAAACCCATCTCCTCCCCAGTTAAAAGCCTCTGCCTGTGAGAAAGAATTAGGCCTGTTTTGTTAATGATTGTTTACACTTCTGTATATATGAAATATTGCTTTCTTCTAGAGGAGACATGCTTTCCCACAGTGACTTTTTTTTTCACTGGATATCAGCTGAGATCCTGAGATGTAAAATAGTCCAGAGCCCATTTGTCTTTGCAGGTGTCAGGTGTTGCTTCTCATTTGCACTTAATGCTGTTCCACCTACCTGAAGCTATAAAATCAGCTAGGGCTTTTGCAGTTTGCTTACCAGAGTCAGCCTGACCAACAGCATCTCAGCTTTGAGGAAATGCATAGGTAAAAAACAAACAAACAAACAAGCAAGCAACTCTGCAAACATCTTTTTCCAGTTTATTGGCACTATATTCTGTATCAAAGAATAACAGGAAATAGGATCAAAAGAACAGCCCCTTTTAAAATTAAAAAATACATTTAGAATCACACACACCTGATTTAGATTTGAAGAACAAGAAGAAATAAGAGCTGTAGTTGCCATCATTTTCTTACCCACTACAGACTCTTTTCTACAAGATGAGATTGACAAATTTTATTTGCTACATTTTTAATTAAGAAATGCTAATTGATCTCTTTTCCGCATTCAGTTCACTTTTCAATTGGTTCTCACTTTTTTCTGCCCATTTGCTGCAACTTATGTGCGTAAGCATTGTGTGTATATGTATGGGTGCTATCTTGGGTATATATTATGTAAGCTAATGTCCTGTCCTGGTTATCCTGATATACCTCATCTATTCTTAAATCAAACAACAAAAAAGTAAACTGGAAAAAAACACTGATATAGCAATTACCTCCAGCTGTATGTACTGAAGAAATTAAAGACTTCTTCCTAAGGTGGACTTTGCAATCAGCTAAGCATCTGACCAGCACGTGAAAATGCATTTTTACATTATAAATATGGTAGGGCAAAGGCTCAACACCGGTGGAGGAGAAAAAAGAAAAAAAAATCAAACAAAAACAAAACAGAAACAAAAACGACTTCTAAAAGTTTTAATTTTCTTTTCTTCTTTTCTTAAAAAACCTTCCAGGGGGACTGGATAGCTCAAGGGGTTGGTAATAGGATACAGAGCCTTTCATCTCTAGGTCACCAGTTCGCATCCAGGCCAGGTCAGTAGTGACCAAAAATTGTTACCATTTGATGGGGTTTTAGTGACCTATATGAAATAAGTTGTTGGAACCACTGTTGGAACAGTTGCTGGAAACTGTTCACTTATGCAAGAAAATGTGCCTGATCTTTTGGCAGTTTCAGAAGGGAGACTGCATTAGCTGATCATCTGAAGATGCGAGATACACTGATGGCATTTTGTAGAAATCTTTCTTTCTAAGACTATCATCAATTCATAATTGTTGTAACAATTACTGTAAATGTTAGTATTCTGCTGCTTAGTTAGTGTTCTGGATCTGTTCTGTAGTCCAATGGATCTCAGGGTTATTAAAAATGTAACTGCTACAGGCACTTAATTCATACAAAACTATTCTTCCTGTAAGCACAGGTAACCTTAATGTATTTAAGTTGCAGGACTAAATCCCCATCTTTCTTTCTTGACATTTTCATTTTCGGGTTTCTCACCAAGATGTAAAATAAGGAATTCCATCAGTGTAACACATCCAGAACATGTTTATAGAGGAAGAAAAAAAGAAAAAAAAGAAAAGAAAAACATAAGACAAGCACTAGCTGGCCTAGAATTTCAAAGCTGCAATAGCATAATACAGTGTCATAGATCAGGTCAGATTTGGAATAAATTACAGAATTATTTCATTCCTAATTTTTATATTGTTATGAGTTCTACCAAGCTAAGTAGCAACAGATTTCTTCTCCCAACAGAACAGTAAAAAAACACTTCCCTCATCCTTTGAAAACAGTTTCTTGTGTTCAGAATATTACTGGGACCTTGTTAGCCTTTTTAAATACTTCTTAAAATGGCTAGCTTATGCATACATCACCTAGATACTTCACATTTTCTATAAGAGAAGTCTCAAGAAGTAAGCATGCTTCCTATAAGGTTATCATCAAACCCAGAAGCTGCCAAGAAAAGCTAAATTCTAAAAAATTCATAGTTTTATAAATAAATAAGGGTAATTCTCAGTTACAGAAAGGTCCCATTTTCACTCTCAATGAAGGAGACCCTTAAAATGAGAAGAAAATATGCCCTGAAAATAACATTTCTACCCAAGATCTCTAAACAGGTCCCAATTCCTGGCCATAAGATTTGGGAGGAGGAGGTTGCTGAGTGACGAGTAACACAACCACAATACTCCGCTTCCAAAGGCCTTCAAGAGGCTGTGAAATACAGGTAGTAAGATTGAGCAGCTCTGAGATTGCTCAGAATTATGTTGGTAGTGGGGAAGATTCCTCTATGTTGCAGAAATCAGGGAACAAAGATGGACTAAGATGCCCTCATACACCCCAAGTATCCATGTCAGTCCTTGCCTGTCTTACTGCAGGAATTGGATTGCTGAGAATCACACTATTTTGGTTTACCTTCCTACAAGGTCCTAAAAGTTTTACGGAAAAAAGGAAGTAACATTTAAAATAAAATATAACTTGTAAATGAGATCTGGTATTGGGTACTTGAGGAGAAATGATTGCTCAAATATTAGCCAAAAAAAATCAAAAAAAGCTTTGATAGCTCTGACAGACACATGTGATTAATTACTGTATCTATCAGAAAAAAAATACAGGTTTTATCTACATAAGTAATTATTGGGGGTTAGAAGGCAAGTGGTCAAAAGCAATGTAAAAAGCAAAATCAACCCCCCTAAATACATCCTTGATATATGTCCTTCTTTAGATAAATGAAGGGTATTACTGACTAAAACTCAATGCATGGAACAATAAGACTGGAGCTTGAAATAAATTATGTTGATTCAAGTAGACACATATTGCAAAACTGTCTTGCTTTTCTATACAAAGAAATTAATCTTTGTTATAATCTTGCATGGAATGATAAGGCAATAAAGATATGTATTTAATTCCTGCATAATCCTTTTAATGTAGAGCTTAGTTTCTAGATTCATGGCATTTAAGTTTTCAGCTTAAATTTCAAAGCTATGTTGATCAAATCTACAGGTTGCCATTTTTCTTTAAGCATTTTTAAACTATCATTTGATGCATTTTTAGAATTTTATTATGTCTGTATTTATATTCAACGTTTGGGGTTTTTTATACAGAACACATCAGTGCCAGGCTTCATCACACTACCACCGGGTGTTCTCTTTTGTTTTTCTTTTAATTATTTTAATTTTTCTCACTTATTTTCCTTTCATTACATGTACTAATGGTATGTATTTAAAAGAACAGTGCAATACCACAGGTATTAATGTACTGCTTTAACATTTATAATATTAGTCTCTGAATAAGAATTTATTAAGCATTGGTAAAACAGTATACAAAACTGTTGCTGTAAATATTCTTACACTCTTTTCTTTTTCCCCCTGTATTTGTGTATTAGGTGGTTGTGAATGCCCTTTTAGGAGCAATTCCATCCATCATGAACGTGCTTCTCGTTTGTCTTATATTCTGGCTAATTTTCAGCATCATGGGAGTAAATCTGTTTGCTGGGAAGTTCTACTACTGTGTTAACACCACAACTGATGAAAGGTTTGAAGTCGACCAAATCAACAATTTTAGTCAGTGCGAGGAACTCATAAAAAACAATCAAAGTGCTCGATGGAAAAACGTGAAAGTAAACTTTGATAATGTAGGATTTGGGTATCTATCTTTACTTCAAGTAGTAAGTGATCACTCTTTATATACATCTTTCTGGTTATATGTAATAGTGAAAAGCAATTCTAACAACAAAGACAAAAAACATTTACCTGATGATTTTGTTCTGTGACTTAGTAATGCCACTGCCCTGATAACTGATTACTCCTTTCATAGTAAGCAGCAAGTAGAGCCTACTAAGATGACATCTTAGGACATCTGACAGAACAAGGGGTATTTTTCCTATTTATAGCTTACTTAGTCCTCCAGTCCCTTCTAACTTTAAATTTCTACAAGTACCTAGGAATGGCATTCTGCTATCTGAATACTTTAAATTTTACTGTTGCTGAAAACCAAAATTGGCATTGGTGTGATTAAGTCACAGAGAAGAATTCCAGGTAGAAATCGCATCTCAGTGATGTGGCTGCCACCAGTGCTGACTTATGTGACCTAAGTAATTTCTCATTCAGAAGAGAAATAAGAAAAGAAAAATATCATTAGATACTATAATCTATGAAATATTTTCCCTGCTATTTCTGTGCATAAGTATCTCATGGAGTTTATTCAGCAAATACTGAGGGAAGAAGGAAGAAAATATGTGCTGTAAAATATTATAAGGTTATGCCTTCACTATCAAAAAGTGTGTCCTCACAACTACCTATCTTTGTATTTTGGAGTAGCTAATAGTCTGACCCAGCCTTAATCAAGAAAATGCTGGACTTAAACTTATATTGTGTGCATTCAGCAACCTCTATGTTTTTTTGAGATTACTGTCTAATTCTGCCAAACCTTAGTTTTAATTTTTATAGGTTTTAAATAAGTTTCTAGTTTTTATGTTGACATAAGAAAACTCAATACTACAAATCATAACATGATGCAGTGGTATCAACGTTGTCCTAGACGGGGTCTAAAACTATATTTCTGAGCTCTGTGATCTGCCTCTCCCAGCTCATACAGCATCTCAACTGTGTGACTGGTAACTCTGGCAATTTAAATTATGCTATGTTTTATTATTTACTTTACTGTCCATCAGAAAATAGCAGAGAGGGACCACCAGCACTAAAGAAATAAACTACTGAATACAATTTGATTTTGATAACAAAATTGGATTATAATAGGAAGACTTTAACTATTTCTCTGTCTTATTTTTGAAATCCACTTGCCTAGAATCCCCTTTGGGGACCAGGGGGGAAGAATGCTTTATTACACCTCTTCAGGAGAAACAAGACATTAACAAAACCCATTGCAAGTGGTTTGCAACTATTCCTTCAGTAGTGGCACAGGGATAAAACCAGGTATATTTTTTCCTGGTTTTGTGACCACAGTCACCACCCCTCAGCTACTTGCAGTTATATATATTTCAGTGTCCCAGCTATGCATAGCTTATTCCATCTTCTCTTCATTGAAAAGCAGCAAATATTTCTTACATCAACACTTAGATTCTTATATTATTGGATTGTTCTGGCAGGCAAATTGGGGGAAATTTGCCAGTTGTTCCCATGTTTCCAAAGGAAAAATTAATCTAGACCACCACAGAGGGGCCTAACTCTTATGGGAGGACATTTGCCAGTTGTTTTTACAGTATCTACAATACAGAGAGTTTGTATCAATATCAAAGGCTTGCCTAATGGATGGATTTTTCTCTGTGTGTGTAGAATGTCAGTGACACTACTTATTTTTTCTGTATTACTAAAATGCTTGTAAAAGCATGAAGAGATTTTCTTGTATAACATACCAAAAAAGAAAAAAAAAAAAAGGGGCACTTCTGTCATTGCACAAAATAGACACTTGTCTCTGCATCTTTATAGGGTTTGGTAAGTTAGACACTAGTAGTGATTTTGCAGTTATGGAATGATAAAAGCCCTAGGGAAGAGGAAGGAAAATATCAGCTTGATTTTCAATTAATGCTTTAAAACATACAGAATCTATAGTTTGCTTTTTTTCACCTTCATGAACCCAAGAAAGGCTACAATTCATAAATGTTTGAGATTCTTACATTATCTTGTCAATCAAAGAAGATATTTGTAAGGTGATTTTCTATTTGATACATAATGTAATTTGGATGAGAATCTAGAAAGCCATCATGTTCAGAAGAAATATAAGAAGTGAATAGATATGTCAGAACCCTAGATTTCCCTACCCTTCCTAATCAGCTTCTAGGAAAGGTAAAGAGAGTAAATACTAAGGTATTGCTCAATTACAGGTATCCATTACAATGTCAGAAACAAAAATAAAGCTACTGGGACTTGAATATTTTTCCCAAATAAGGTATTAAGCCTGAAAAATCTGATTGAAAAACTATGGTTGCCAGTGAATTTGCTTTCTGTGCACCCAATGTGAACATTAATAGCCTTTTTTTAACATCTTAATGATTAGTTGAAAAGTCTGCTGAAGTAATTTGGTTCTCCAACTTAACAACCTCAAGCACAGGCTTTCATTTAGGTTGTAATGGACCTGAGAAAATAACCCAATAGAGGTCAGTGTCACTTTTCTAATGACAAACTCAGTGCTAAGTATCAATGTATGAATTAGTGAAACAAGGTCCCTTCTTCAGGAAGCTGGAAACAAACTACCAAAGCTGCCTCTTACAACCTTGTATTATTTCCCTTCTATATTCTAACTCATGTCCTTTGAGCCATCCAAAGAAGAATATTGTAAATCCCTTCAGCTTTTCTGGGTTATAGGTAATACAACATAAATCTTTATTTGCTGCATCACTGAGGTTTTCTATCTGGTACGAATACTGCTGGAAGTAGTACTGTTTTCATGACCAAAAAAATTACAAATCAAAACAAGCCAAAAGAACCCTGGTACTGAGAACTGTATTATTCTGGGAAAAACACAAATGATTCCCATGAAAAAGTTTTGTTTTCGATCATGAAAAGCCTGTTATGGTAGTATATGAGTCTGTTCATTGCTGAAAAAAAAAACCCTGAAGACTTTTTTAAGAGTAATATATGAAAGAAACAGATATTTCACACAGAAATACTCAGTAGAAGCAGGGCAATTTCAGAAAGAAATATTCTAGGCTCAAAAAAAAATAGATTCGAAATGTGTGGCAGTAGCTTTTTAATTGAAAAGACCTCTCTGACAAGTTCTCTCTAGACTTTCCTTGGCAGTGATAGTGAAAAAGAACATAAACTAATTTTTTGTTTGCATATTGTATTTTTTTCTTTTGGGGGAGGAGTGTGCATGGAAAATCTTCAGTAATGATAACATTATTATAATTCTTTCTGCCCCAATATACAGGCTACTGATATGTCCAACTGATATAACCAAATCTTATAGACTTTGTTAATCAGACTATTTTCTAAAAATCCTACATAATTTGAAGTTGGAGTGTAAATATTCCTGCCATCAGTCACATAAGTACAGTCTCTCTGATAGAATTTTTTGCTTCTATGATGCAGTGTAGCTCACGTTGGTTTATGTAGATCTGCAAATTTTTTTCATATCTTGCTCTGAACTTGCTTGAGTATTTCTCTGTCCCTAAAGAAAAGCATCAAAGCAGAGACAGATCTGCTGGAGAAATTCCTTACACAATTTTCATGCATCTGTGAGTGGAGAGGAAGATGTCGGTGTACACAAAGAGATGTAGCATCTGCCCTCATAATTCTATGGCCTTATGCCTATTTAACTTGAACCTAGTGTTTGGATTCTTTGGTAAGTAAATCTCCTGGAGGCATGCTTTTATCCTGCTGGTAAGCTTATATCCTGCTTACAAGGATAAAATGTGGCAAACCAACCAGTGGGTCTCAAAGCACAACATTATATCTTTCTGCTGTTACTAATATAAATTAAAAAACCAATAAATAGATAAATAGGTAAATATATATAAATAAATTTTAAAACCCTATGAATTGTAGGGTAAAAAAAATCAGAATCTGAATTAAGGCTATAAGACTGGGAGAGCTTCAAAGTTCCAGCAGGTCAGTATTTTTAAAGCAAAATGTTATTGTATGTCCAAAAGGTAACGTCAATCTTCCTGGTCATTATTTCTGGTAAAGAAATTGAGTGGTGAAACTCCAGCATTATTTATAACTTCATTAAAATTCTTCATCAGGGAAAAAGTCTATGTACTTCTAACAATAGTAGATTGGTGGATTTTTGTTTTGTTGGTTCTTCTAAGTACATTTGAATACATGTTTTTCAAATTTCCTTGAGGGAAAAAAAACCACATTTGGAAGAGGTGCTGATTTCAGTTACACAGCTATAAACTTTGAAATCAATGAATTACTCCTGATTTAGTGTCACTGAACATATGCAATATATTTTTATTTTTGAAAATACAAAAAGGAAACTAAGAATTTGATCTCTTAGTCATATTTCTGTGTTATATTCCATTCAGTATGCACATATGCCCAAATAATGCCTTATTTCTGTTACAGAAAATGCGTTGCAGATAAATTTGAGCCTAACATAAGCTAGCCTAAGCTTCTACTGAATGCAGTAGAAATAATATTCTTTCACTATACAGATGCTTTGACACTGAACCTCCAGTTCTATTTTTTGCTATTGTTCAGCAATATATTTAAAAATTACAAATTAACTGAAACTTCTGCTTTGGGAATTAAGAATCAGTTTTCTCACAGCTAAGTTCTCAACTAGTATAAACATTTTTGCGTAATGACAATTACATTCACTGATTTCTACTCATTTTCAAGAGGGATTTAGACTAAAACAAATAACATGATGAAGCAGTATGTTTTATTATTGAAATCACTTAATTTAATAAGTTATGGGGGGGGTCTTAATTTCTTCAGTAATGGTGATATAGTTTTGTGAAACTCATTGTGGAAAACGCACACTTTACTTTAGATATTTTGAACTTCAAGAAAGTGATGTTATGTTTTTCCACCCCCCCACTCTCTCTAAGTTGCCTTTTTAATAGTAGTAATAATAATAGTCATCATACAACAGCTCAGTTCTTCAGCTCTTTTTCCTAGCACTAACTGAAAGGTACTCTCAGTATAAAGGACTACTTTACTGATGATTGTGAAGCTTAGTATTTTAAAATTAGTCTATTTTTTTCCATTCACTCTAGTTAGTCTAGGCTACACCAACAAATTTACAAAAAACAGTAAGTCCACTTTGCCTGGAGGATGATATGCAAAGATCATAATGTGTCTGAATCTGAGGCAACAGCACACACTTTGCAAAAGAGCCACTCTGTCATTTGCATCACCTTTCTGATGTAAAAGTAGGCAGGCTATTTGCATTTAATGTTTCAGGTTGAAGTGCTGATCTCATCCTAAGGTATGAAATTCTAAAGAATGCAAATAATGTACGAAGAGAGAAACAAAAGTAGTGCCTGTAAGACATGAAGTAATCATCCTGCCCTATTTAGCCCTTGTAAGACCTCAGTTGAAATACTAAGCCCAGTTTTGGTTACATTTCAAGAGATGAACTAGTGTAAGAGACCTCAGAGGAAAATAATGAGAATTATCAGAGTTCTGGAAAACAAGATCTACATGGAAAGACTGAAGGAACCACAGTCACAGCCTAAAGGAGAAAGGCAGCAACAATCAGTTTGCAAATGAGTAAAAGGTGCTGCACAAAGGATGATTATTACTCTGTTCTCCCGATATGTAACAATTATAACAAGTGACAGTCTTAAATGGCAACAGAAGGATTTTGATATTAGGAAATAAAAAAGACCAGTGCTGGAATAAATACTTTTTATAAGGTTGTGGAGTGTCCATCATTGAAAGTCTGAAAATGCCAATTACATAAATAAAGCTGATCTTACCTCTCCTAATCCACTGCAGTCCAAATATTCCACAAGGACTTTAAATTCTTCAGCTGAGACTTCTACTTGTTTCAGATTTATTGCTGATTTATTGGTCTTCTGATACTACACTTTGATTTCATCATCTTAACTGTAAGTTGCCTGAACGTATTTTCTGGATTGGCCCCAAGATGTGATCACAATCTTTTAGTATTCTACTGTTTCAGCAATGTAAGGGACATCTTTTCCTTTTAAGAAAATAATCCCTTTTCATTTTAAATTCACCATCTGCTGCATAAGCCAAGCCTTTTTGAAACCTCCACGGGAAATGAAACCTCAAGATGATGGAGCAATAACCATGAAGATGGTTATTATGGATGGATGAAGAGTTCCAACTTATTTCTGCGACTGGTCTCCATGGCAAGGAATATGAAGGAACCAATGATCTGCAGCTTTGATTAGCAAAAATATAATAGGAACTAAATAACAGAAAACTATATCATATTGTTTTATTTCGGGCACAACTGGGTTAAAACCTGAGTGACTTCTACTTGGAGTTGTAGCTTTGTCAAAAGAGAACTAATTTCTCCAACAGAGAAAATCACTGTCTGTTTTGAACACTGAGATGAACCAATCTACACCTCACTGTCAAATGTGAAAAGTTACAGATTTGGGGCAAAGGAAATAGCTATAAAAGTTCACTAAATGCTGCCACATATGAGGCATATTCAGTCTTTGATGCACATTAAACACATCTTACCAGTATATCTTGGAATATAATACCATTCAAGTGAAAATGGAGTTAGAGTATCATGTAAAGTCTTTCAAAGTAGAGAAAAATAAAAATTCTGATAGATAGGAAAACAGCTTTTCTGAGTTGATCAAATTTTGGTTCCCTTCAGTTGCCACCTTAATGACTGATTTAAGAAGGAGGAATTACACATCAGTCTTCATTGGTGGCAACTCAGTTACATAAGGCTATTTCTCATCCATACGTAGCCTTTGCAGTTGACATGATCTGATGAACGTTTAGTCCACTAAAATGACACTGCATTGTACCATTTGTGATAATTAATTAGAAATAAGTTAATTAGTCTTACTGCTTAAAATGTTAATATGGAAACAAAATAGGGGGATACATAGCAGTGCATCCAATGAGCAGCTGTGAAGAAGGCCAAGAGACAAAATAATTATCTAGAAATCGCATGTCATGCTAATTATTCCTGGTGCTGTACTCAGTTGCTGGAAATAATTATATGAATTGTCTTCAAGCTCTGTGCTTAAACAGGTGTGTACTGTTTACAGGCTACATTTAAAGGCTGGATGGATATTATGTATGCAGCTATTGACTCAAGAGATGTAAGTACTGCAAACATTTTTAAATCGACTCTTCTTCTTGAGGTCTGTCTATCAACAAGTGTGTCTTTATGTATGTTCTAAAAGCAATTAATATCCATATAACAGAATGAAACAAAATTAAATTAACTAATATGAGCTTCTGCTGTAACAAATTGTAGAAAACTGAATACAAACTGCCAGATGCTGACAGTAATCAATGGAATGGACAAAATACATTGACATAAGTGACAAGAGTGTTGTCCAAACACAAAATATTAAGGATATTTTGCCACTTTTGTTCAGCTGAAATTTTCACGTGAAATCTTAGGAATTGCATTTCATATTTTTTTCTTAGGTATTACAACAACCCAAGTATGAAGACAACCTGTATATGTATTTGTATTTTGTCATCTTTATCATTTTTGGGTCTTTTTTCACCCTGAACCTGTTCATTGGTGTCATTATTGATAACTTCAATCAGCAGAAAAAGAAGATAAGTATTGTTTTATTTCTCTTCTGAAGATATTCTAAAATATTGCATTTTTGCAAGTGCATGCTATATGGAATGTACACACGAGGTTTGTTCAGAATTGAAAAAGCTGAATTATATTAGGATATAAAATCTTACCAAGATGTAGTATGCATTAATGTCGTAAGATTTAACATTTTAGTGAATGGGGCAGACCCTTCTGGTTTCAATGTCCAGTTTAGTCTTCCTCAAGTCATCTGTTTTTCAGTGCTTAAACTTCATGAAATCTCTTTACATGACCAAACCCCTGATTTAGGCCTTACATTAAAGCACTCATAATTTCTTGATTTTTTTTTTCTTCTATCAGCACAAAAATAATAGCTACCTGGTTGTGAAAATAAAGCATTATTTCATAACTAGTACAGACTACTGTTTTAATGATCCCAAGTATTCAAGTTCTGAATTATCTGTAAAGATACAGGAATTATTTGTAACTATCTCAGGGCCTTTTTTTATTGTTCCAGAGTGCAGATGTAGATAATCTCACAAGTATAGGTGGTCTGAGTATCAGATGCTCATCTTTAAAATTATTTTCTGTAAATAGACAAGGTAATGAAAACTAAAGGACAAAAGCAGCTATGAACTACTAGTTTAATTTTACCTTAATGGTCTTCATCACTTTCTTTGGGTTTATGTTGCTAATGAGAGATGCTAAGTAAGGTTTTTGGGAACTGTTTGTGCTAGAGCCCTAGAGGTATATAGTTAGGGAGCCTGTCTAGTGTACAGTTCATGCAATCCCATGTCTTCAGGCTTCCCAAACATTCATCCACAAAAGGGCTGCATCCAGTCCTACTTGTTCATAAACATTCCTGGAATTAGTCTGCAAATATCTTTTATCCAGCTGCATTTGATAGCTAAGAGACTTTTCCCAATTCAGTCTTCTTGATTTTCATGAAATAAGTAAGTAAATTACATTCTTTTTAATACTGCATATAAATGTGATTATAACCAGTTTTGATTTCATGTTTTTACTTTGGAGGTCAAGACATATTTATGACAGAAGAACAGAAGAAATACTACAATGCAATGAAAAAGCTGGGATCCAAAAAACCACAAAAACCTATACCAAGACCAGGGGTAAAACTATTTATACATATCAGATCAATAGCTATTTATGAACAGCTTGGGTTTTTTTATTGATATACAGAGAGCAGAAATATGCCCATGTGAAAATTAGAATTAATTAATGTATCAGTCAGCAAAAATGGAAAAATAAAACACAATAAAAAATATATATATTTTCCTTTGCAACCAGTTTATGTATGAATATACAAACAAACGAGGCTGAACTAAGCTAGTGTACTCACTTTAATTTGACTAGTCTACTTACTTAGTTATGTTTTTATTGAGGTCTTGTAGGCCTTACTGCATGTATTTTTCTGCTTTCTTCAAATGGGAAAAGAAAAACAATTACAGTTTGTATTGAATGGTTTTGGGTTTTTTTTCTCCTCAGAACAAATTCCAAGGCATGGTCTTTGATTTTGTGACACAGCAAGTATTCGACATCAGCATCATGATTCTTATTTGTCTTAACATGGTTACCATGATGGTAGAAACTGATGACCAGAGTAAAGAAATGGAAAATATTTTATACTGGATAAACCTGGTGTTCATTGTTCTTTTCACTGGAGAATGTGTCCTGAAATTAATTTCACTTCGTCATTACTATTTCACTATAGGCTGGAACATTTTTGATTTTGTAGTCGTCATTCTCTCAATAGTAGGTAAGTTTTTATTAAACTAAAAAGAAGGTAAAATGAACATAAGGTGAACTTCTACTTGAATATGGTTGGCTTTTGTCATTGCAAAGTTTACAACTAAGTCATAGAATCGTAGAATCATAAATGAGTTCGTCATGCGACTTTTATTTGTAATTAGTAATTTACCTATTCCAACCATTTAAACTTTTTATCTTTCAACATACATTGCTCCTGCAAATATTAAGTATAACTGGTATAACAGAAATTATGCAAGTGGAATCTACAGAGTATCTTTAACAGCCACATAGAACAACCAGTCTTAAAACTATTTTTCTAAATTTCTACTCTGATATGGAGTAATGTATCTTGGGTTTATTTCTTTTCTGTTTTAGGTATGTTTTTAGCTGAGATGATTGAAAAGTATTTTGTGTCCCCGACACTATTCAGAGTCATCCGACTTGCCAGAATTGGCCGAATCCTGCGTCTCATTAAAGGCGCTAAGGGAATCCGCACTCTGCTTTTTGCTTTGATGATGTCTCTTCCTGCTTTGTTCAACATTGGTCTGCTGCTGTTCCTGGTCATGTTTATCTATGCGATATTTGGTATGTCCAACTTTGCCTATGTTAAGAGGGAAGCTGGTATAGATGACATGTTCAACTTTGAGACGTTTGGCAACAGCATGATCTGCCTGTTTCAAATTACCACGTCTGCAGGCTGGGATGGTTTGCTAGCCCCAATTCTAAACAGTGGGGAGCCAGACTGTGACCCAAACAAAGCTCATCCAGGGAGCTCTGTTAAAGGTGACTGTGGCAACCCTTCTGTTGGGATTTTCTTCTTTGTCAGCTACATTATCATATCATTTCTGGTAGTGGTGAACATGTACATTGCTGTGATTTTGGAGAACTGCGGTGTTGCTACTGAAGAAAGCGCTGAACCCTTGAGCGAGGATGACTTTGAGATGTTCTATGAAGTCTGGGAGAAGTTTGATCCCGACGCAACACAATTCATGGAATTTGAGAAATTGTCTGATTTTGCAGCAGCACTTGAGCCTCCTCTTCATCTACCCAAACCAAACAAAGTCCAGCTTATTGCAATGGATCTGCCCATGGTAAGCGGTGACAGAATTCACTGCCTTGACATCTTGTTTGCTTTCACAAAGCGTGTTTTGGGGGAAAGTGGGGAGATGGATGCCCTCAGAATACAGATGGAAGATCGGTTTATGGCATCCAATCCTTCAAAAGCTTCCTATGAACCAATTACAACCACATTAAAGAGAAAACAGGAGGAAGTATCTGCTGTCATTATCCAGCGGGCTTATAGACGTCACCTTTTAAAACGAACAGTAAAACAAGCTTCCTTTATCTATAACAAAAACAAAACTGAAGGAGGGGCTGGTCAGGGCATAAAAGATGAAATCCTTATTGACAAGTTAAACGAAAACTCGTTTACAGAGAAAACTGTAACCGCATCAACAGCAGTTTGTCCACCTTCTTATGACCGTGTAACAAGGCCAGTCAAAGAAAAGCACGAAAAGGAAGATAAAGCTGGTCAGAAATAAAAGCAAATAACAAGCAAAATCATCTATGTGCAAAATAGTTCATACCCTGTGAGGATCATGTGTTCGTGTCAACAGGACTCCTGCTGGAGGTCTATGCCAAACTGACAATTTTTACAAATATACTGTACATTAAAGGTCAGTGCCTATTAAAAGACAGTGGCTGTGACTGCGATATGGAGAAACAACCTTGACAGGAGGTTACTGTTCTCACTACCAGCTGACACTGCTGAAGAGGAGAGAAAAATGGCTACTCAGACTGTAGGGACCAGTTAAGGGGTGCAAACCAAGTATTTGTGTGTTTAACATAAAACAATATGGTAACTGTATCCACTGTTTGCATTTCAACTGCCACATACGTCGTATTTTTACAAAATCTGTGTTGGTGGATTCATCTTATTTTTATTCATATATTGTTTATGATATGTGACTATTTTTGTAAATGGGGCTTCTGTTGGGAAAGGGGATTAAGTACACCGTTACAGGTACAAGGGCCAGGTGTTCTATTATATGACTAATATACACGCAGAAACGATTTGCATGAAGGCATGCTGCACTTATAGATCATGCATGAAAATAACATTAAGCCACAAAGAACAACAGATTTTTTTTAGCACAGTGTTTCTGGGAAGGAATTGATAGATTTTGAGGTGCTTAATTAATGGACTCATGTTGTATCACATCCAAACAAATCTTGGTATGCCTGTAAAATCCCCTATAACTCACAAGAACAGTAGAGATGGATTGATTTTTGCACAAACCATTAAGTTTCAGAAAGCGCAAACTACTTTCTGGGTGTGAAGTCACAGATTTTGTCTTTGCCAAATGTTTTTCTGCACACAAATAATAAATGAATCTGCCTCAGCCCTCCAAATTGATCAAAAAGAGCCCTTTATAAAATTGTCCTGCTTTATCCTGCAGTATTGTTTAGCCATCTTCAGCTCTCGGTAAGATTGTTGTTGTACACATTAATGAAAAGTCCTCTGCTATGTAAATAGTGATTTTTAACCTGTGGTGCATGTTTGAGCAAACAGATAATGACCTTAGCACATTTATTGCATCAAATATGTACCACAATAAGTGTAGCGTACAAGCATTCAACAGGTAAAATTATGTATTATCTACCATTATAGATAGTTTGGATGCTATCAGTGCATGTTTATATTGCCTATGCTGCTGTTCCTTTGACTGTCCAGGATTCTTAAATATGGGAAGCCATACATCAGAGCTAAATGAAATAAACTACTCTACAAGACCTCATTCCTTCATACCATTAAGCAATATTTTGCAGCTACTTAGGAGCTTATTTGTTTTACATTTTTGAAGCATATAGTGTATATCCGAACTGTACAGACATTGAAAACTACTAAACCTGTTGAAAATAATGTTAGGATTTTATAAGCAAATATAAATACTGTAAAAACCATTTTATTTTATTTTTCAGCATTATGTACATAAAACAAGAACAGAATTTTATCTTCAGGTTGATGTCGCACCATTTTTGTTACTTTCTGCCCATAGCACTTTTTCACAGAACTCCAGAAAACAAGATATAAATGAGAGAATGGATAGCTGTAGGTTCTTATTTTTTTTGCAATATTTGCAAACATGTCAATACTTTCTGCAAAATAAGCTCATAATTTTCTTTTAAAAGCTAAGTTTTTTGCAGTTGGGAAATGGTGTAAAGTTCAAATTGAATGTCTAAGCAGTGCCTGCATCATAAGTTTTCAGATACACCCTTTCTTTCACAGAATCCTTGATCTTTTCTTATGTTTACTTACAGATTTATTTTTTTTTTTTATTCATGTTGCACTAGAACAGTTCTAAATGTTATCTTGGATCCACAATATTTTTTCACAAAGAGAAAGTAGCAAAATTGTATAATCCAACACATCAGGACATTTTATGTTTCTTACACAGGAAAATTAAATATAGATTACTTTTATTAAAATTATTAATACTGTATTAGTGAACTGCATGCAGGAAGATGCTACTATTACCCTAACTGATGCTAAAGAACATTATTAATGCGCCAAAATAATAAAGATTACATTTTTTATTGTATGTTCCTTTTGTCTTTACTACCTGACATTAACACAAAAAAGGTATGCTTCTAAAACCAGAGAATAAAAGGATACTGAAAACCTTTACAGGCAGCTACACTGTTCTTCCATGTGAGCGAACCTGTGGGACTTGCTTGTTAGTCCAACTAGGAATTTCGAATTCAAGATACGTTGGACACTGAGCATGATGATTCCACATGTATCCATAGTTCATGGCGCAGCTCCATCCAGTGGGGTACTCAACCATCAAATAGCAGAGCTGTCCTGCTAGTGTGTCCCACAAGGCTCCGAGCGTTTACAGGAATGACAAGAGAGCATTCATGAGTTTACAAAGATAAAATGAGGATTGAACTTAGTACTAGATACATGACATTCCACAACTTGGATTATCAGAAGAAGTTTATTCTTGCTGGTTACTCTTCACAAATAGGCTACAGACCATCTCATACGCAAGTGCATTGATGGAAAGTATGAATCGGAGTCAGAGTGAATAACCATTGTTCTTTTCCTCAGGAACTTTTAAGAATCTCTCTGGAAGTATCACATGTGTGGATTCTTGTATGGAAAAATGCAAATGCCACTAGAAAGTGGGCATGTTGGTTATTCTTTACTAATTGCTTCAGTGAATTTATTAAGCGTTCTATTTACATGCTTACATGATTTTATATTGCATTGCCCTACAACTTAAAATGAAAACACTTAGTGGTGAATACTGAACTAAATACTGAATTAATACTGAACTAAAGCCAGCTTATGAGCAACTGTATTCTATATACTTGCTCAGCTGCTAATGCAGTAGTAAAATTTCATAGCATCTTCCCTGAAATTCATCACAAATCTTTTGGGGGAGGAAAATGTTTCCCCTTCAAAATGTTCTGAAAGGCATTATGAAAAAAAAAGTCTGAAACTTCGATGGAATGCACAAGTATCAAAATTAAAACATAAGTATTTTCAGATTAATATGTAGACAAAAATATGTCTTAAAAGGTTACCTTAAAATGTAAATTACAAAAAAAAAAAAAAAAAAGACAGAATGACTAGACTTCTTCAAAAATAAGTTAGTAAATTGAATAGTATTTTTTGATATTCTATTAATAGCTTTTTAACCTTAGCTTTTCTCAAGGAAATAGTTTTAAGGTAAATGAGAACTGTGCCACTGTCCCTGCAGATCACAGGTCATGCCCATGCAAAACCAGTTTTTTTCTCATACCTATTTTAGTTTTGCAGTGTAACAGAAGCTGAAATGTTACTTCAAAGCAAGTAGAGCATCACTTACAACAGGAAATTTTGAAGATCATCTTGGCCAACAAGAAAAAACGAATATTCTTATGTATTACTTCTTTGGCAACTTCCTGACACTGGGAATGAGAAATGTGTAACGCAGTAGTCCTGTGTGTGATGGACTTGTTAGGAAAGCTTACTCTGAGTGCTCTCTGCTGGAAGAACTGGCTTCATCTGCTAATTCAGTGCAAGTTGGGTTTGCCTCCTTGTACTAAACGGCATTTTGGGTGGTTTTCATTTCGGACAGACAACACAGCCGCTCTAAAAGAGTGCTATTTAGCAATGGTGTGTTGTTTCTGGTG